CCGAAAAGCTTGTAGCAGAGTATGTTGAGCACCTTGCCCAGACAGAAATGCGCAAGGAGAAGAAGACAGAGGAGACTGAAAGGGAGCAAATGAAACGGCTGAACCGGGAGTACAATGACATTGACTGGGTTGGACTGTACAACTCCGATAAGCTGTCGTCCTTGAGGGTGGACCAACTATCCTTGTACTTTTCGCATCACAAGATGACCTTTAACGGGAAGAAAGCTGAAAAAGTCGCAATGATAAAAGCGCCCATTGGTAGCCTGCTGTACAATTAATGGGGCGTCAACAACCTCGGAAGCCCCCACTCAGAAATGTACAGCATCAAGTGACCTTGTCACTTTCCGAGGTGGAAACTGACTCGCAAAGTGATGTAGTAGATCGAGTTGTCGGTTCAAGCCCGAGTAGCTCAAGTAACGAATCGTCACCGGACACTAATTTTATACCAGAGCCCCACGCGGAAACATTACCGACGTCAAAATATGGACGAAAGTGGGCATGGGTTGAGAAAGACAATTACGTTAGTTGGGACAAGATAGTTTTTTGACATAACATTTCGACATCTGTTTAAAATGATGTAGATTGATTTAGACTGGTAGCTTTGCTTGTATATATAAGTTGTAGGTTTCTATACACTTCGCGGGTTTGGCAACAAATAATTAAAAATCAACTAACCGACATGGAGTACTTTTTTCCTTGCCAAAAAAACAAAAACTGTGACCCTTCCCCGGCTACGTATCAGACAGGTTTGACCCTCCCCAATTTGTAAAATATTTACTAATGACCCTCCCCTCCGAATRAGAAAAACGTACCTTCCCTTACCAATTATGTTGTGTCATGTTCCACTAAAGAAAGAACTCTTTAAAACTAGCCTCGATCCTAACGTGTAGTTTTGTTTGGCTTCGTATCTGGAAAACACAGGTTTGAATCTCGTCAAGGCCTGATTGTTCTTTCCCGTTTCTTTTCTACAATTGTAATTTAAACTGACGCTCACCTGCAAGGGTTATGGCATTACTTCATTTCAATCGGCGGGTCAGATGAAATTTCCGGCATTATCAATTGTTTCACATCACTCGCTGAACCTTAAATTCACAAATGTTGTGAGGTCCAAAACAAAATGCAAAAAAAAGCTATTGTCCAGTTGGTTCTCTTGAGATACGTCCCCATAAAGTAATGTTTTAGAATAATAATAGGCAAAGGCAAGACTCTGGTGGCGTGTTACATGACGCATGAGATTTTCTCCCGGACTCCAGTTTTTCCATCTGTCTTTGATTTTATCTAGAGTCTCGTGTAGAATAAATTAGCGGTAAAACTAAACTGAGGGCACTCCTGATATGTGTCTTTGAATTAGTTTATTTAGACCACAATTATTTCCTTGCTCTCTTCAGACTTCACGCCTAACCAAAGGCGCTTGAGGCGCGTTTATTTCGTAGAAATGTCTGTACTAACAGCACCAGACATAAGAATTGTGCTTCGTCGCTCTTGTTGCAAAACGAAGCAACGATTTCAAGGCCGTAGTCAAGGACTGAAACATTCGTTTTGAATCAGCAAATACTCACATGATACTTATTAGTAAAGCCATTATTAAAAACCAATTATAGTTGTTGACCTAGCTTGCCAGTGACTTGAGATTAACTTGGTACTCCCATCTTCCCAAGTGAGAGCGAATTGAAAGCTTAAATTGCTCTTTTTTTTTAAATAATCTTTTCAACCACACGATTGACCATGCCGACCGATTCTGAAACGTTCGGAGTTGGGCTTCGATTTGTTCCTTGCGATTGATAATACAAACTGGATTTTACGAGAGTTCTCGCTTCCAAGATTACGTGTTCCTTACAAACCTCAAGGTTTAATATTTGGTACAGTTCTCAACCTCTTCGAATTGAAAAGCTGAAGCATTAAATGACTAAGTGTCTCATGAAATGGTCTATAATTGAAAAGGTATGAATTAGCTTTGAGCACCGTTTCCGGGTCAGTATCACACGGCAACTCGTAAACCAAACGGCCAGATGTTACATACCATTATATGCCTTGTCGAATGCCTTATATTAGAATTATTTTGGTGTAGTTCTTTGGATGCATACACTTTATTGATTTAATTGAGCGCATGCTCCTCTAAGGAGCTATAATTTTATCCGACGACTTCAAAACACGGCCGCAGAATGTTTTACCGACTAATTCAATTAGCTCATACAATTGTGATAAACAGCAAAAGATTTACGGCAAATTTACTTCAAAAAACACACTTGACCTTAGCGTCATGAAGCGATGTCATAAAAAAGCGCTCTGATGATCCCAAGTTTGAATCTAGAGAGATGTTGTCTTTCGAATTGTTTCAAAAGAAACCTCACTCCCAACCATTACGTTTCTTGTTATTTGACTGTATATTTCGTGACATGGCATACTCCCGCAAGTATTAGAGCGGAGTAGAGTATAAGAGACCATAAAATGGCATGGGCTGCAAAAATAAACGATTTGTTCATGGAAATTTTGAATAATTCGTTTGCCTTTCTCATAAATAGTTCGTCACTAAAACTAGCACGATGTCAATCAAGCAACCCAGTAAGTTTTACAATCTCACCATTTCTCTTTATTTCAATGGAGAATTCGTAGACTAGTTCGGACATAAATTGATGGCCATAATATTATTCTAGGATTCTTTTCTGGAGTCTAACCGACCACCGTGAACTATGGTTCATCTGGGAAAATTTTCATTTCAGGCCTGTACGGGATTTTTCAGGTCTGATTTTCACTATTGCTCAAATAGTGCTTTACTGCGAAGGATCGTTCACATATACGTCTCATAACCGCAGTTCATACATATGTTTCATATGTTTGTTGTTGTTTGATTTATCATCTACGGGTTTATGTCGAATTAATTTGATGGCCTGCTCCCAGTTGGCTTGTTAGCTCAATTGGTAGAGCGCTGCACTAGTATCGCAGAGGTCAGTGGTTCGAATCCCGTACAGGCCTGAAATTTTTTTCAGGTCTGATTTTCACTATTGCTCAAATAGTGCTTTACTGCGAAGGATCGTTCACATATAAGTTTCGGTAATGTTTTTCAGCCATAAAAAACGTCCTTGATTAAGCGTGAAAAGTTTGCTTCAGAAAATTGGTTTAACATTTACCATCATGATAAGATTATACCTCTATTATGCAGCTTTGCATACATGTCTATGCTGTGATTCAGAATTTTCCTGTGTTTAAAAAGGTCACTTGCGAGTACAAACGAGGGTACGCTAATCTTCTCAACAAAAGAGAAGGGCATTCAATTCCATCGCGCAGAGTCCCTTGTTCACATGTATACGAATCAAGTAGCCCCATTACGTCTGCGAGAATAGGTATGTCGCTTTTTCGGTAACGAATTTCTGCCAAGCACTCACTTCCGTCGGGTCCTTCTTAGTCAAAATATTAGAATTCTGGTAGGAATAATCGAGATTAATTGAAATGCTGGCATCATTCAACACTAAAAATTCATCTTCTGAATGTCACCATCATCGAGGCTTTCGATCAACAATCCACGAACCTTTCTATAGGTAGCCATTGCTTTTCCTAAACTTCGAAGAGGAAAGCGAGTCAAGCCGCTGTCGTGCGCTTTATCTTAAGGCTATTTTTCGTGCCATTGCAACGGCGATCTCTCTCCAAGCCCCCTCGACCAAGTCTGCCGTCCCAGATGTCTGCCGTCGTCGGATCTTAAGCTCGTTATTACCTGGAAACACATGAAATACGGGATTTTTTCAGCTATTTCGGCCGAACATAAACGGCTCTCTGTGCCTTGAAATAGGTCTCAAATGGATGATAGATCATCGTAGAAGACGTTCTAGATCTGACGTGGGCATTAGACGACGTTCTGACGTGGGCAGTTTGAAAACACTACCTTACATCGGCGTGGTGAGACAAGGATAATGGTAAACACAGTCGGCTTTAAAGCATTAAAGAGGCCATAAGAAGTAAAAAAAAAAATAAATAAATAAATAACCGTCCGGGGCCGAATTTAGGTACATCGGGGGATCGTAGGAATTCTTGTGAGTGTTGCTTACGTTGTCTTTTAACTATTTAGACGGGAGCATTTTGACTATCCACTTTATCTTTACACATATAGCCGCGTTTTATTCATTTCTCACATAAAGCTTGGTACGGAAACCAAATTTGAAGTCCGCAAATCTTTCACATGGCGCATGTCCCGCCACCATTTCATAATCGATTTCTCTGATTTCTCAGTTTAAGTCACATTGTAGTATTAATTGCGTATTAACAAGAACGGAAATCTAGAAAGTTCATTGCGGGAAACTAACGTAATACTCAATAACTCCAATGAAACAATGTTTACGTAAGATGCACGATCCTTCGCAGTAGATAGCGCTATTTATGCAATAGCGAAAATCAGACCTGAAAAAAATTAGGCCTGTACGAGATTCGAATCACTGGCCTCTGTCCGTACAGGCCTGATTTTTTTCAGGTCTGTTTTTCGCTATTGCATAAATAACGCCATCTACTGCGAAGGATCGTGCATCATACGTATTTAATACCGCAGTTCAAAATATATGGACTTCATATATTCATTGTATCTGAAAAAAATGTTTCTTAAAATGGTCTACAGTTGATAAAGTAATCTTTAGGATCAACGCTCGGTGTCTACGCAAGTTTCTTTACAGTCTACAAATTGTTTACAAAATAGGATTTCCTCGCTTGTAAATTACTGTTGAAGTGTTTTTCAATTCAATTACTGTGAGGACTCTCGTCTTCTCTTTTTCATGAGAATAACACGCAAATTTCATTCTGCTCCCATCGTTTTCATAATACGTATACTGTTTAGGTGTGAGAATATAGATTGTTACTGTTTATCACGCCATTTTGGCGGGTAAGCAAATTTGATTGAAAGCGAAGTGTTAGGTAATTGCTATGTTTCGGCACTTCAGTATAACACAGATTTTTAAACACATTGACAGCTTTTTCGTCTTGTAACTTGCATCAGTATCGCATTCTGCGGCGATTATTACCTTTTGTGGCGTAACAGGGAAGTTCCATTCATTGCAAATAGCTCTAGATCAATCCCTCAGTCTAGAAAACAAAAGAAAGAAGAAAAAAAAATTTGAAAAGAAAAAAGAACCTGAATTTGACAAACGTAATTGATATTAGGATAAAAGGATTATCATGAATTCGTAATGGAGATATCTGATATCTATCTGAATTCCTCCAGTGCGACGGCATAGGGTAAAATATGGACTGGACTATTTTTTGGACCATTTTTTGGACCATTTTTTGGACCATTTTTTAACCTTGTTTAGACCATGTTTTGGACCATTTTATAAGGAGGGAAGCACACCATTAGTACTCAGGGAGGGGTGGACGCAGTCTATAAGTACTGAAGGAGGGGTGAGAGGCCGACTACTCAGGGAGGGGCGGGAGGTGTTTGTAATTGTAAACACTACTGGTTAATGGAGCTTTAACTCGATCGTACAAATTATTTTAATCGGTCTTCAACCGGTTGCTTTAATGATGGAATACGAGTGTTTTGATTTCCTGCCATTCGGTCTTGATGTTCAGGTTTAGATCTCCTCGAATTATTGCTTTGCCTCAATAGAATACAAACCGGCGAAGCTGTTCAACATTCTTTACCGCTTTTTGTCAAGGCAGTGATTGATATCGCCTAGGTACTTGAATTTTTACATTCTAGGAATGTGGTACAACGCGAATGTCTATTTCCGTAGCCATATATGGTTTGTCCTGCGCTCAACGTTGGACGTCTGCTCGTGAACTAATGTTCTCTTCGAAATGTCGAAAACATATTTGTCGCATGACAGGACGGAAAAAGCGTGCGCTGTAAGTACCTCCCGTTGTCCCATACAAAGCCTTAGAAACTTTTCTAAGGCTTTGTAGGGGACAACGGGAGGTAGTTACAGTGCACGCATTTTTCGTCTTGTCGTGAGCTTTGCGTTTTTGAGGTCTGCGTTTTAGAGGTCTGCGTTTTCGAGGTCTGCGGCCTGCGGTCTGCGGTCTGCGTTTTCGAGGTCTGTCAGTGTTTTCGAGACACCCGAGCGAAGGTTGTTTTGTACGACTGTACCAACAATGATTTTTTATAAGAAACGTATAAACGTTAAAATTGCGATAGCGCTTGCGAACTCTATATGCGGCTAATTCAAGGGCTAAGGACCAGAAATTCCGTGATCTCGTCTGATAACATCAGTGACAAAGGAAGATAGATAAATCTGCTTATTACATACTGTATACACAAAGGAAAACTGATGGTGCAAAAGTCGCCTCAAAAGGCACACGCATAACCTTTGCCAGACTGGCAACTCAACAGTGGAGGATCGTAAATGCGATATTTTCAATAAAAATTAAAGTCCAGTGTTTACGTGGCCGTTTCGCTTTCGCATGACCAAAAAATTAAAGAAACGCCGCGGCCAAGCGCAAAAAAAAACCGATCGAAAAACCGATCAAAATAATTTGCACGATCGAGTAAACGCTCCATTAACCAGTGGTGTTTACAATTGCAACCACCTCCCACCCACCCTGAGTAGTTATTTGCTGCACCCACCACTCCCTGAGTACTAATAGTGTGCTTCCCCACAAAAAGGTCCAAGAAATGGTCCAAAAATGGTCCAAAAAAGAGTCCAGTCCAGTCTATATTTTATCTTATGCCCAGTGCGACTTGATATGAGGAGACAATTTTTTTTGTTATCAAATGAGTTAATGAAGGTAAATTGCAATAATTGCCGCAAAATGTAATAGCAAACGCCTCAAAATGTAATACTAAGAAAAAATGTAGTAACATCGACGCATATGTAATAAATTACTCGACACAAAATATAACTTTTCAACACAAAATGTAATAACTTTTCTAACGCATTATGTGACAACGCGAAATGTAATATATCTGTTAAGGACAAGAGAAAAACACAAAATATGATACAAAGCGACAAACCGTCGCGTTTTTAATCAAACCAATTAAAGTTCGAACACGAACATGTCAAGTTTTTACAGCCCCCCTGTGTTTCTACCCTTGAAACGCGCAAAAAGTGGAATGACAGACGAAAAGCATTCAATGTGTTAAGAAATCTGTGTTTTACTAGAGTGCCGAAACATACGGCGAGATAAATTGTCAAAACTTGACATGTTCATGCTCCTAAAGCAAATTGGTTAGACGTTAAAATGTTACAGATTGTGTCGACACACTTGGCGAATGAAGATTTGGGTGTGTTAAATTCACATAAAAGTCTCTTGCTCAAGAAAGCTCGAGAATTGTATTAAGTTTCCTCATAGGCGACCCAGCCGTGCCATGTGTGATTTTGGGGTCTAAAGCTAGTTAATCAACGACAATACCTAACATATTGAGATCGAATTTTAAGCGTAAGCGGGGGCCGTTAAAAAAGGAAAAATTGTGAAAAAGGTTCAGAAAAAATTAAAAAGGATGATAAAAGCGAGGAAGAAAACGTGTAAAGTCTCCTTACCCTCCTTACCCTTCTGTTGCAGCTTTGTTGCCAAAGGCCGTTTTTACGCTGTTTTGGCGATTTTCTATGTAACGCGTGCGGTATTACCAGTTAACTGTATAAAAGGAAAAATTATTAAAAAAAAGAAAAAGGAACAATTAAAAACGACAATAAAAGCGAGGAATATATCGTATGAAGTATCCTTACCTATTTTCCGTAGCTGCTTTGCCGTTTACGGTCCTTTTCACGCTGTTTTGGCGAATTTCTTTGTAAAGCGTGCGGTGTTACCAGTCAACTGCCCACTAGCACCAAACGCTTTCTTTAATCATAAAGTGACACCGCACGCTTTACAAAGAAAGTCGCCAAACCAGCGTTAAAACGACCGTTGGCATCAAAGCGTCTACCGAAAAAAAGGTAAGGAGACTTCACACGTTATATTCCTCGCTTTTATTATCCTATTAATTTTTTTCTAATTTTCTTTCTGATTTTTCTTTTTCTTTTTCTTTTTTTAACGGCCCAAGCTTACGCTTAAAATTCGATCTTAATATGTTAGGTATTGCCTTTAATGAACGTAAGATCCCCAAATCACACACAGTACGCTTGGGCCGCCTGTGATTTCCTAGACATTAATTTGGATTGTCTAGCAACCCTTTGTGTTCAATGAAATTGAGTGAACTTGAAAAACTTAACAAGTGATACCACGAAATATTTCGTGAGTAGAACGTACTTTGCGATGCAGTTGTCGGTAGTGAGGTCTTATGTCAATTACTCAACACCTCGCTTTCAATAGAATTTCATCCGCTTTCTGGTATAGTAAATACACTACGAGGGGAAATTTTCCATAAAACCAAGAATTTCAAAGGTAAAATAAAACCCTAACTTAGGTGAAAAGTTTTTGATATTTAAGCGAAAGTTCAAAGAAGCTTATTACCACATCTCATGCAGGTGAGTTAAAGTGGAAGCTGGAAAACTCTGGCTACGGTTCAAGTCCTTAGTCTGTGGATTTGGCATTTTACCATGAGTATTAGTTTTCTCGACGAAATTGAATCTCAATCAAATCAGACTGATTGAATTAAATCAAGACAGTAAAGGGAATAACTATTAAAATGGACTCTTGAATTTTTTACTGAATCGCGTATGGCAAAGATTGGTTCAAGAAACATAAGTTGCACGCCACTGAAACAATGAAAAGAAAGGTAACGAAATGCACATGAGCATTGGTTGATTTGAAAAAAAAAAATTAATAAGTTAATCTTGAAGAAGCCTAGTTTCATCTTCGCATTGTAAAATTATCTGCTTCAGTGCTGAAAGCTAGGACGTAAATCTACATAGTTTGAAATACCTATTTGATCAGTTAGCAACAAATAGTGCAACAAGCTGCTCTACTCCAGTTGGTTCGCTAAAGATATATTCTGATAAGGTGGTATTTTAGAAAACTGGTGGGAAAAAGCCTGAATTTGGCGACTTGTTAAGTATTGCATAAGATTGCTTCCTGAGTAGGGAGCAGTTCGGACTACTGTTGTCCCTTTTACTTAGAACTTCGTATGGAATAAATTATCGATAAAACTAAAGTGCACCGCCAATAAATGTCTCTGAACTAATTAATCTTTTCAATCAGACAATTGACAACGCCGTTCGAGTTTGGAAATCGAATTGCACAGAACACTACGTAGAAAAGAAAGTTATAGGTTACTACTAGCTTAGAAGGTCAAATCTGACGGTTCATTTTTCTAAACTACCGCTGAAAAGCGTTCCGAAACGTTCAGAGTTCGACTTCTGTCCCTTGCAAACGATGACACATGCGGGAATTCTCGAGAGTTCTTGCTGTTTGCAAAAATACTGAGTGTTGCGTGCAGACTCTATGGACTAAGAGTGGGAACAACTCTAAGTTACTCAGAGTTGAAAAGCTGTAGCATTAAATGACATAAGTGTTTCACGGAAAGTTTTATATTTGAAAACGTATATATAAATTAGATGTATGCACTGAGTCTCTAATGAAACACTGCACATTGTATACCAGGCAGCCAGACGTTACATACCTATTCCTTGTCGAGTGTCTCTCACTGTAATCTTTTGATGCAATTCTTTGAATGGTCGCACCCCGGTGCTAAAAAAAACTGCTTTATTGAAGGCGACTTTAGTGGCAAGTTCTTATATAGACTTCGAGGACTCTACCTACCGCTGAGTGCGTGCGCATATCATGTTTTATTCTTATGTCATAATAGTCAAGCCCTTTCGTTATCACTAGAGACAGCACTAAGATTTTGTCGTCAATCATAGAATACGTTAATCTTTCTATATCTGAAATGACATAATAAGGCTTACTTCCGTGTAGATTTAAGAGCCACAATACGAGAACGATTAAGATAGTTCGTGAAGATTGGAATAAGAGAGATAAGGAAAACATATGTTTTATGTGTACTGATAACTGATGACAGCTATACCTCAGTAGCATGATAGAGCATCGTATAGAAGGGATACCTCAGTTCCTGTCACATTGTAGTAGTCATTATAATGTATATAAAACACGAACGGAACTGGGATCACGCATGTAATATTAAATAATTCTGCACACTGACACAATATTTTATAAAGAGTTCTACAGCTAAAAAAGTAATCGTTAGGATCAATACTCAGTGTTTCAGTAAGTTTGAACATAATATGCAAGTTGATTTCAAAACAGCCAAGAGTCATATTCTACTACTTATTGATTGCCGAGTATTGTAAGAAAGAAGAAACTAAAAGAAACTGAAACTCTTTGGAGAAATTCTTTTGGTACGGTTCTATCAAAGCTGATAGGACTCTACTTAATGCCGGGTGCTTCGATCAATTATCGAATTATCTGTTAAACCGCTTCCCTCGTACTCAGCATAAGGTCCGACTAAAGTACATATGATGCTGCTTTATTTACCAGAGAATACACATCTGCGATAATAATAATAATAATCATAATAATAATAATAATAATAATAATAATAATAATAAGTCGACATACAAACCCCCTTTGGTGACAAATCGTGGAACTTAAGGATTTTTAAGGAGCTTAACGTTTTGATTTTACCGAGAATGACAGCAATTTGAGAAATTCTTACTTGTCTATTTACACAATCTCATTGAATTTATCCGACCTTTTCCTAACAAGATTAATATATAGCTTTAGCCAAGCCTAAAAGCGGAGCTCCCAAGTTCGTAAAATTAATGATGACATAAAAGACGTGCATTTGCCAAGACTCGCCTGAGTCACCCCTCCCTTAGGCACGTACGTACGTACGTACGCTCGGTCAGTCACGTGACAACCAAACGAAAAGAGGTTGACCATATTCCATGGGTATGGGGCTCTGCCCTTCGCGCGCGTGGGAGCTCCACTAAAAATTGGCCAAAAGTAACCCGTCAATTAACTGTGTGCTAAATAAAATAATCGACTAAGAATCTGGCTTTTGGAAGACGAATTGTAGTTCTTTTTGATCTCCAAAGGACTTTTTGGGGAAATGATTCAGTACGATTTAATCAAATATTAAAGTTGTAGAAAATGAGCTGATTTGACGGTGCCGTCTGTTAGTCAAAAATGTATACATTCACACGCAAACTAAATTGTTTCGCATTTTACATCCAGTTTACAGCTTATTTAACATAATATCATCTTACTGTCCATATTTCTGTATCAAAAAGGGGGATTGCAGTTCTAAAATTGTTGCATTGCTCCCATAATAGCGATATAACTTGGCAGGATAGTCAACATCTCCTGATGATGATTGTTTACAAAGTGTATCTCAGGGTTCTCTATTCCCAACTCGTTGAAATACTTTACGTAAGAGATATTTGTTTAAATATAAGTCTAAAACCGAACCATGAACCAAATGTAAGCCGAATGTTGCTAGTTCAAATTCAAAATTATGGCCACTGAAATCGACAACTCCACAAATATACAACATTGGACTGTGAAGCACGTGGCAACAGGAACTAAGGTCGAGTGTTACATAAAGGAAACAGCAACAAAATATTTTTTAATCCCGATCCTTACTGAGTTTATATCTTTATTTGGTAGACTATTGTTTAGGTGGATAAAGCGCATTTTAGGACAAAAAGAGCGAAAGATCTGCAAAGGGCATAGCCCATCTCTGCAGATCTGCCACAGAGGAAAGTGCAGTGTTTGAATATTTGTTGATCTAAATAAAGTTTTATAAGGGCAAACCTGGAAAACGACAACTTTCGGTGAAATGTATGTACTAGCCAACGTTCAACAGCTTTATATTTAAACTACTTATTTCCCAGAGGCTACAGTGCCTTGTTAGTTACTAATGCTAGTAATAAGACTTCGAACCAAGTAGCACGTTCTCATATTCGCACTCGTCTTTTCCCGGCAGCGGTCCAAAGAAGTTCACCTCTGGAAATAAAACCATTTCTGCGTATCTTGGATCTCAAGAGACGCTTCGAGCAATCATTGCACCAGCTGATACAGCAAACTCGAAGTATGGGTCGGTTTACCTACATCAAGGACCTGCATTTTTGAAACAGTGGCTTTGAAAAATAACTCAACTAGTTAGTTATTGAGTTCTTTTTTTTTTGCCTAAGAAGATAGCTAAGTAGGCTGTGACTTATGACCCTCAAATAAAGTTGGGTCCAAAACCATCAATGCATTGTGTGGTGATATATTATGAATGACAGATGAGTCAATTTTAATGGGTACATGTAATCGAAAAAAAGAAAAAAAAAAAAGAACACATGTTATAAATTTTGCGAGATGAGTTTTTACATAAATCTTTCGAACATTTACCGGTCTGCAGAAGAAAAACTGCAGCAGGGTTCTATAAAAAAAAGGGCTGAGATTATTCAACTTGAAGTAATATTCTCGTTTATCCTCACGACGTACATTCCCTTGAGATGAATGCCGGAGCCGTTTTTAGCCTCCTACCTCCTACGTCATTTGTTTTGAAACACCCCGCTCCTCCTCAGGTAAGGTTAGGCTTTTTTAATAGCTGTCTAGATTTCTCTCAGTTCCAAATTAAAAAAGATGGAAAGAGAAAGCGTTCGCCAATTTCGAAATGAGATCTGACAATTTTGGACCATGAAAGAAATTTTTTAATCAGTGATACCGATTTACAGGGCTCATTGTGGCGATTTGGGAATGAATAAAATTTCCTTGCAGACTGCAGTGATACTGAGTATAATGCACATACAGTAGAACCTGTACTAGCAGTCACCCTGTTTTAAACTGTTGGGGTCACCCTTTTTCTGCCTTTCTCCTGTGTTAAAAGGTCACTTTAATCGGATCTACTCGATGAAAACTAGGAATAATGTTTCGAGTACATTTTATCCCATTTTTATCTCCCGAAACAAGTTTAGTTGTATTTCTGAAACCAATTTGTACATAAGTGTACATAAAGCGGTCAATTATGTCAGAATTTGGCTTTTGATATAGTTGTTTTAACCCACCTGTTCTGTTGAACCTGTGTTTAACGGCCAACCCATCATTAACACCCGTAGTGGCTGTTTTGAAATTACAGTCGGGTTGAACTGTATGTGACCTCCTTTACGCAGTGGAGGTAAAAATAATTCTTCATTTCCAATTTTCTTTCACACGCTCCTTACTCGGAACTCTGGCTCGCATATCATGAGAAGAAGATAATCGCATGCGTAGGAAAAAAAAAAAAACAAAAAACAAAAAAAAACAAAAACAAAACTCGATAGATCGATTGACTAACCGACAGACAGACAGATAGAATACACGACTGACTAAGTAAAGCATCGGCTTCTCACTGATTGATTTGGCTTCGAAAGCTGGCTTTGTTTTCCAATGCACAACGTTTCTTTATTTTTACAATGATAATGGTTTTTTTTCGACGGCAAAATGTTGACGCTTACTGTATCCGGTGGTTTCGAGATGTTTATTAATAGCTGATATTTGGTCAGATACAGTCTTCCAGACTTTCGAAAGCGGAAAAAACAACTTGAACAGCTCTCAAAAGTTTAAAGCAGGCGTCTTAGGAATGTTTACCTCCTCTGTAAGAAAAAAAAAAAAAAAAAGAAGGTAAAGATATCTGATATTCCATCAGATATAAATGGTGAAAAAGATGAAGGTATGGACTCTCATATACACCGTGGAGTGACAATGAGATTTTTCGTTATCAATATTTTGTCATCGTGGACCCCTGGCTCAGATATAAATCGTAAACCCACCACACTCTTTGGATAAAAACTTGCATGATTTACAGCTGACTAACTGACGCACAGAATGACTGACTTACTGATTGATCGATTGATTGTTTAAGCAAGTGATAACTTTTCGAGTATAGCAAATTACAACTACAAGGTAACTGTCTTCCACAATTAAAGCAAAGAATTACACGAGGTTTCTTTCGAAACAACTAAACGATGACACGTGCAAATGACGAGATCGACAAAGACTTGACATCACGGAGCAGGAAAGGTCAAGAAATGTCGTTTTTTAGAATAATTTCATTTAATGATTTTAACAGTTGTAGGCATCATTACGTCTTTGAGTAAGGCAATGAATTGATCGGCGGAGTGATTAAAATTTAGTAAAGAAGCTTAGAGCAAGAGTTCCTGGAAAATTGTCAGCATTTTGTTTCGTATGTTTTTGTTTGTTTGTTTGTTTGTTTGTTTTTATCAAAGAGTTGGAAATTCCGTGTGTGATTTCATTAATGGCGCGAAACTGTTGTTTCCCGTTTGGTCACGAGGCAGTGAAGGCATTAGAGTACTAACGCATAGTTTTCTGAGAAATCCCGAAGCATGCTGTACCAAAGATTCCTTGTGTTATAATTGGTAACTGAGATTGGGAAAATATCAAAGAATGAGGTAATCTGTACGTGTGGTCTGCATTCACTGGGTGATTGTTAAATGAAAGGGGTTAGGATGATGACAGTACCATCAAACTCTTTCAAAGTGTTAATGGCTGAAACAGCTATATCACCTCTGTTTATAATAATAAATGTTTCAGATGGAATTTCTTGATGCAAATTGATTTTCATAGGAAATAGTGAATGATTTTTTAAAAACTCCCTAATTGCTTGTGGAACTTTGAGATATCGCGGGTCGATGATTACCCAAATACTCTGCGGAAATCAGGTTTTGTTTTGTTTTTTGTTTTTTTGGTTTCTTTTCTTTTTGTTTTGTTTTGTTTTGTTT